ACCTTTCTTATCTTGCATCTCCGGTGTTTTTGATTTATTCATGACACTGGACCCAGGTGCAGGAGGGAGAGAATGTGGTTGATGCAACGCGTCTGACCTCAGCCTGTTGAAGCAGGCGGTGGATTTGGTCGAAACCGACGGTCGAGCTGTCACGAAGGCATGACAAAAAGAACAAAAGGATCCAAATTTCTCCCTTCCTTCTAAAGGATTTTGACCTTCATACACTAAATATTCTAGCAAAGCCGTGCGGTTGGAGAGAAAACTGGCTAAAAGTATTTTTCTTCATAACTGATTAAGACCACTTTTATCGCACGTCCTTGTGGTGCGCGTCCATTTTCGTCTGCGATATGGTTTCCGTTTTGTAGGTGAGCCTACAAAGTTAACTATAACCGTCATTTGCTGGTAAAATAACTTTTGAGGATCCAGCAAGTAGCTAACTGCTTTCAAGAGCTGTTATTCTGAATGGTCCAGTAATCGTAAATCACAGAAACCGATAAGTACAAAGTGTTTACTGGCATTCGGAGGACGCCTTGACATCCAACAGGCTCCACCGACGTCAGAAAACACACATGAATTTTGCGTTGGAAACATTCTCCTGATACAGAGGGAATAGCATGGTTAGAACTATATACCTCACTTATATTTCAATGTCTAAATCACCTAGGAGCCTGTCGGCCCGTGAACTTATGATAAATATTATTACATCGACATTCCCATCCAGAAAAATAGAGTGGACTCAGCTTCGCCTAGTTAAACGTGTTCCAAACAATGTGAAAACGAAAAACCGCCCCACAAATTTCTGCACATGACTGTTAAAAACATCCCTGAACACTAAGAAAGTGGCCATTTGCTATACGGCATATCGGACTAGTTATGCGGGCATACATATCCTGCGAATTGTTTAAGGGCTTTTTAACTGTTGCTGTTAGTGTTGTTTTATTGATTTTGATAATGCACAGGCATTCCTTATGTTCTTCCACAAATCCAGTTTATTTTTGACATGCACTTTTGTTTTTTGGCATTTCCGTTTTTTATTTGATCAAATTGTGGAAGTATAAATGGTATTCGAACCCAAAACAGCAAAAAGCTTTTCTGTAGGAAATTTTTCACAGCAGTCAAAGACAATACTCCTTTCCTTAGTTTGTGTTTATATTTAACTGTACGCTGATTTTATTTTGAAGTTGGCATTTCTGTCGGACTTATCGGGTAATTTTTCTAAGCTTACGCTAATTTCATGAGTTAAATCTCTTAGTGTAGGTGTGGGATAAATATATTTCTGGAACACTCGCCCAATGGAAGAGTGGCGATGCGTTGCAGTCGCATTCACTATCAAAAGTGACCTGGGAAGATGGCTGCCATTGACACGGAAGCAACGACAGTCTCAAGGTTCGCCTGTGTGGAAAGGGACTTGTCACGAACATCAGGACTCAGTGACCGCCCCACAGACAGCAGATCGTCCTTGGGAGTTTTTCCAAGTATAATTAATGCAAACCACGGGTGCATACGCACTAATACCGTCTTAAGCAGCAGGTTCTCCACACTATTGGCGGATGCCTACCGGTAGGACCGACCAGGGCATGATAGTAAAGACCCAGTCAACAGGAGGGTCTACAGCGTTCGAGCAGAAGACGTTTTTAGAAGGGTTCCGTTAAAATAAATGTGTTCGAGGGAAGGTATTTGTGTAACCATTTGCAGTCCGAAAGCTAGCTTTGTAAGGAGCGTCACGACGTAGGCAAGCGTTCAGTGAAGCATGGATATTTCTGCTCCCAAATGCGACTATCACATCAACCCGTGGCAGCCAACGAATGCGGTGTCAAAATAGACTCGAGGAGACCGTCAACAGGATCGGGCGCAGATTACTGGCACGGCATGAGCCTGCGCCCAGATGTGCCACGACATCCCCCTGCCCCTGTGTGCCATTCGATGTGGATGCGCATCGCCAATAACGCCTGCCACACCCTGTTCAGACCACATGTTGGTCCAGCGCATCTGCTGCGCGGCCGTCGTAGGGA